TAAAAAATAAAATGCACACGCAGAATAGCACTGGAGAAGAGATGAGACGGATTTAAAGGAATTTCTGAGTAGAGTTGTGCTGCACTGTAGTAGAACGTCATCAGGGCAGTAATTTATGTGTTGCTTTTTGAATACAAATTTAGACTTCACTTGGTGTCTAAAAATGATCAAATGCAAGTCATACAAAAAAACAAGTGTATTAATATATCTCAGTCAAAAGAAGCAAAAATAGAGTGGCTACAAGTGAATTAAAAAAGAAGAAAAAAACAGTTACGTAACATCAGGCACATTATCCGCGGGCCACAGATTATAAAAGAGTCAGGGGGATTAGTGCACTTGGCACCCATTAGGGCAAGGGCAGTGTGGCAGGGCAGAACATATTATTATTATCTGCTCTATCAGGGGATCTCTTTTAACAGATTCAATGTAATAGTGTGGTGGAGAAAGCACATTCAATTTTCCTCAAAGGGAAGAATATTCAAGAAAAACACGACATTTTATGGAAAATGTGGGTGGATACAAGCAAAAGATGATTGCTAAAAGTCTGCCTGCCTGTAGTAAAGCATCACATTTGACTCATGAAACAGTGTGGACAGTGTGCAGGTTATGATCCGCTGTTACACGCTAACAATGAACGTTTGCACACGTTTGGGCATAAGACCAAATGTGTTCAATGAGGATGCTCGGTAGTTACATGGCAAAGACACTAAGAGCCTAGCCTGCACTTGTACGTGCATATGATGTTAAATAATTGAATTACACTTTGTGTAAACTCTGATTGTTCAGTTACAGCATTCTACCATCTGTTATTTCTTTATAGCAGACCGCTTCTATGAACAACAATGCAGATCTGATCTTGATACACAACTATATAAGACTATTTCTTTAGTGGAAGCAATGAAACCATTTTTAAATCAATAGAATAATTTGAGCAATTTGGGGTTAAGTGTCTTGCCCAAGGACACATCGAGCCGGGTAGTGAACCGCCGCTCTCCTGAGGGACTACTTGCTCTAACTTGTGATCCACAGTCCCAGCGAGGTGGTCAGGAGCAGGTTCCCTACCCGACCCTGATGGGTGTCTCTACGGGGAACTGTCTGCTGACTGACTGGCGAGACTCTAAACCTAACCAAGTACTTATGTTGCCTTTCAATTTACAACGCCAACCACGTGTTTCAAATTGTTTACAACTGCAGCCAGAGAAAATGTGTTTTGTTTGTTGGAAATGTAATTGAGAATGCAGTTTAGTTGTATGGGAACGTAATCTGGAGCTGTTTGTGGCTCACTGAAGGCTGCTGAAGGCGGCTGTTGGATGGATAAAGGCAGCAGAGTGAGTAACTTGGCAGACATATAGATGGGGGAGAAAGACACAACAATAAGACAAAAGTTTACATTCAGTGTTACTTACCCAAACACATGGCGTGTATCTTTGACGTCTAACAAATGTGTTGAATGCATTTTCTTCCTCATAAAACATTGATTGCACTTTGGAACCTGCCTTATCTGCACCTTCACTAACTAGCTTGCAATCTTCTTCTTCATTGCCCATTCAGTGTGCACCATAAAACAATTAAACTGCTTCAGTATCCTGTACACCCTGTTGCCATTCTGTGGCTAAAAGCACGGAATTCTAAATGCACAGTTGTTGCTGTGTGCGGCCGTACAGACCCGTACTTCCTGGTGACATTTCGGTGCTCGGCTGTTGGACTGTGACACATTTGCGATGCACCTTTCATGTAGCAAAAGGTTGCGTTTCCCACTCTGTAAAACTGGACACACTCTTTCAAGTGTAGGCGAGCAGAGGCCTTCAAAGTTATCCGTGCTAAGCCGAGTGGCTTTTACTTATTGATGTAGAGATTCACGGGGCAGCATGGATGGACTCCGGCTGCAAGCTGTTGGATTGTTTACAGCTGACAGCCACTGCGCCATCACTATGTCACAGAAACAAGGCACAACTGACACAATCTCAGAGACACATCTCCTTCGAACTACAACAGTGCAGGATCTCTTCCAAGCATGTTTTAAGCTTATCTTAAAATGTCACTACAGTCCAACGCGGCTTGCAGGTAATTCCAGTTCGTCAGTGGTTCGAGCTGGCTTCCTGCACGTAGCACCACCATTGATGCTTTGACTGACATGAAACCGTGTTGAGAAAATGCATTTGGATGATTTTTCTTCGTAAAATATCACCACAAGATTGTCTTGAGTAATAAGGTGAGTACAGTACCAAGACCTTTACTATAAATGCCAAGTGCAGAGACTTCTCATCTGAGCAGCACACAACCAGAAAATTGCTTGTGACCTGGACGGAGCACTGCAGAGTAGTAGTGATTCTTAAAGGGACACATCTGGCCGTTGATTACGGTGTTTGTTTGTTGTTTTCTTAAACTGCCCACAGCAATTTGGAAAACACAAATGGTGCCAATTGATATCTACATTGCTATAAGTGCACGGCATTAACTGCGGCTGATGGTTCGCAGGATATAAAATAGCACTGTTCAGCAAAACTCTACAAAGGTTCAGAGGATAAATGCACACCGTTGCCTGTTAGCTAACTGTAAGTCTCAGAAAGAGCAAACAAGCAAAATGTCTTCCAAAAAACCAAATGAAGTAATGAAATATGAACCTGTGGTATTTTTGCCTCATTCACATGTAACTTTACTGAGAATTTTACTTTACTGAGGTAATAAATCAAGTGAGAAGTAATACTACAACTGGACCTCATCTAGCAACCAGAGGAGTCGCCCCCTGCTGGCTATTAGACAGATCCAGGTTTAGGGAACTTCTGCATTGGCTTTCAGGAGGTTGCCCCTTGGGTTGAACTCATAGATTACATGGTTGACCCTCATGATTGAGTTTATATACAAGGGCTGTAATAATAAGAAGTTCTAACTGAAAGGAACATATCTTATGCCGCAAAACAGCTCCTGTTTTTCTTACCTGGAATTTCAAATATGACCATATATGAATTATCCAAGTGATTTTTTTTGGACACTCAGAGTCAGTTTAGAAATACATTGTTTTTTCTTCCTTTATTCATCTAATGGAAAAATGTTCTCTATTTCCCCTACTCTTATCCTCTTTATCACTTATGCTTTCCCAGAAAGGAGAGTTCCTCTCAGTCACAAATTCTTAAGTCATCATATCTGACCAACATCATATGAATGCATAATCATCTTTGTGCCCACATTTCCTTAACAAATGGATGATATTTTCTGCTCAAAGTGACCCACTAAAACTGCATCACCACCATGACTTTCAGGATGCTGTCCCCTCTGCTGGCTTTACTCCACCACCAGTAATAGGCTCCAGAGGGATCCTGTTCTATCTCCCATGTCCGTGGGCATACATTTAATGAAGACGCTTTACATTCAGTCTAATCAGCAAGACCTGTCTGCTTGGCTATACTACCGGACTCATTGTTGTAAACCTGATTTGTACCTATTTCCTGATTGAAAAGATCCACGCTTATAATGAAGTAACATGCGAGAACAACACCCAGGTTATTGGATAGTTGAATCTACTTTGGACTGACAAAGTCACTGTGAAAGTGTTCTGTGATTTTGAGTCATAACACTGCAGTGAATATGTGATCAAGACATAAGAAACTCGTTAAAATCCATGATGTCTTACAAAAAAGTTCCAGCTCTCTAGCTGGATTTAAAGGACTCGTTTATCTGCAGGACTTAGAGCAAATTGTTTAGGTCTTTGTTTTCAGTAGACTTGATTATTTAAACAGTGTCTTTAAAGGTCTTCATAAAAAAACTGCAGTTTCTTCAGAACGCTGCTGCCCTGCTCCTCAAACCAAGAAAGTGGACCACATCTCCCCGGTTGTCAGAAATTTTCCTGACCTCCTATGTGTCAAATTATTGATTTCAAAAATATTATCATTGACCCATAAAGCTAAGACAGCCTTGCTCACTGTCCCCAGGGTCAGAACCAAACAGAAGAAGAAGCTTTCAGTTTTATGCCACTGCTTTTCCTGAGGTCATTTAAATATGCTACATTCTTCACGTATTTAATGTATACACACTATATATATATATATATATATACACACACACGCACATATATATATACATATACATATATATATACAC